TCTAAAACTACACAAGGATCTGGGAATTTGCACTCAGCACGATCTGAGTCTGCAGCTGAATCACAAGTTCTCCAAAAAGTAAATGGCTTTACAGACAAGATCGGTGGATCTGTTCTGCTGCTGTCCTCATGAAATGGTCCATTTTTACGGAGGTGCGTTCTTTCTTCCGGATACTGTTTACATCCCTTAATGGCCAGCCAGCAGGAATGTTTGCCGATAGAGTTTATACAGCAAATGCTTGAAGCTATTTTTAAACTTCGTTTTGGCGCCCACCCCAGTTTCATTCAGCTTCTCCTTTCAGGGTTCTCGATGGGCCAGGAAATACAGGTCATCCTCGACTTAACAACAATTCGTTTAGTGACCGAAGTTACAACGGGACCGAAAAAAAGTGACTTATGACCGTTTTCACACTTAACGACCGTTGCAGCCTGATCAAATTCAGGCGCTTGGCAAATGACCCATATTTATGACGGTTGCAGTGTCCTGGGATCCCACGATCTCTTTTTTTGCGCCTTTCTGACAAGCAAAGTCGGAAAAAGACGTGCCCTCTACACATGCTTGAAAGCACTCTGTCCGAAGCCTTCAAAGTGGCCGAAACTTACGCCCTGGGGTCACCCCAAGGGTTGATGCCAGCCTGCAGCTCCCCGTTTCTGCCGGTTCCAATCTCGCAAACATCTTTTGTCGTTGTGGGCAAGCTGTTACTCACACCACTTCCTGGCCAGCTGAGAGCAAAGCCTGTGCAAGCTAGGAAGAAGCCGTGTCATTTCCTCTCCCCGTGATCAACGGCTTCTCCGTCTTTAAAACTTCTTTCCGGAAGTCTAGATTTACCTGCTGTCCATCCCCCCGTTGCAATAGGCCAGGTGTTTTTTTTCCCCGTCAGGGGCCCTGCGCCAAAAAATGGCGGTGCAGTTGACCCAAAACTTTCTTCTCTCTCTTTCTTAAAATGAAAAGAAAAAGCCGAAGGGGTTGGAATAGAATCACAGAGTTGAAAGGGACCTTGGAGGTCATCTAGTCCAACCTCTTGCTCAGGCAGCAAACACTATATACCCTTTTGGACAAACAGTGGTCCAGTCTTTTTTTAAAGACTTCAAGTTGTTGATGGAGGCTGCCGGATCTGAGGAGGTCAGATGTTGTGGTACGCCTTTCGTCACAAAATGAGCATTGATGTCGGCACATGGCACTGATTGATCGATTTTTATTGATTAATTTATTATGCCATCCATCTCTCCTACAAGGTCAGGGGTAGGCAACCTTGGCTCTTTTATGACTGGTGGACTTCAACTCCCAGAATTCCTAAGCCAGCGTGGTTCAGCATGGAAACCTCTCCCTTTCCCCTCAGCGTGACTGGCTCAGGAATTCTGGGAGTTGAAGTCCGCCAGTCATAAAAGGGCCAAGGTTGCCTACCCCTGTCCTAGAGGGAGCTGGGCCGTGTGGTTAGCATAAACCCAGACCAGAAGTAGGCAACCTTGGCTCTTTTATCACTGGTGGACTTCAACTCCCAGAATTCCTGAGCCAGCCACGCTGAGGGGAAAGGGAGAGGTTCCAAGCTGAGCCATGCTGGCTCAGGAATTCTGGGAGTTGAAGTCCACCAGTCATAAAAGAACCAAGGTGGCCTAGCCCTGGCCTAGGCCTGTATTTCTCAACCTTGGCCACTCGGAGATGGGTGGACTTCAACTCCCAGAATTCCTGAGCCAGCATGGCTCAGCTTGGAAACCTCTCCTTTTTCCCTCAGCACGGCTGGCTCAGGAATTCTGGGAATTGAAGTCCACCAGTCATAAAAGAGCCAAGGTTGTCTACCCCTGATCTAAATGATGGTTCTTCTCTCCCTCCCAACTCTTTAAAATTGCCTTGTTCAGGGATTCAACCGTGCCAAAGTTGTGCAGGCAGATCGAAAGCCCCTGAAAGTGCTTTTTTTACACACACACACAAACACACACACACACACACACAGAGAGAGAGAGAGAGAGAGAGAAACACACATCTCTGCCATCTGTCCGTCAGAATAAAAATTAGAATTATCTTTTCGTTTTTCTCTCTCTTCTCCCCTGCAGCCTGCAGAGGAAGAAAGCCGGGCTATTTTGGGGCTCCAACATAATTGTGGAGGCTGTTTGTTTTTGTTGGGATGCAGTGCTGTGTTATTCTTTCGCATGCTGAGTGCCTCTTCCACAATAGAGGCGCTCCTGGTCGGCTGCTGTTTTCGTCGGAGGAGCCAGATGTGCCTGGGAATTTGTTCCGCCTCTCGGAGCGTTGCTTACGAGTCTCACAATCTGATCAGGAAATGCATTTATAGGGAGCGGAAAACCCGCTCTCGGCTGTTAGGATGATTGCTATTAATCTCCCCGGGGCTGTTTGGAAAGGCTGTTGTCTTAAGCTCTCCTCCAGCAGCGCAAAGCCGAACCAAAGAATGCAAAAACTATATTTTTTGGGAGTGGATGCATTTTGTGATTGGTTAAATTTGGGTCCTGTCTCCTCTCAAGGCATCCGAACTCAACATTTATTTCCCTCCTCACAATAACAAGCCCTCTCTGAGGCAGGCATGGGTCCATTCACACAAGGCCAGTGGTGGGATTAAGCCGGTTCGCACCACTTCGGCAGAACCGGTAGCTAATTTTTTTGTTGCCCAGGCCCAGAACGGACTTCCAGAAGTGGCATCCACACAGAGAACCGGTTGTTCACCTATTTGAATCCCACCACTGCCCAAGGCCTTTAACCCAGCTGACCCATTAGTCCATTTTATTGATTGGCACGCTACTCTTGAGTCATAAACATCCCAACTGGGCTCACTTCAAGGCCCTGGGCCACCTGCAGACATTGTGGTCGTAAGTTGGGGACTACCTGTATGTATTCATTTATAATGTGGATTTATATACAGCCACCTGAAAAACAGATATGCTGATTTTTAAAACAGTGCAACACCCCAAACTCAGTCAGCAGGCCTGTTCTGATAACATCTTAATCTGTTGGAAATTAAACTATGTTCCTGCAACAATGGGATCCTAAACAAACCAAACCAGTTGGATTCCTACAACATCCACTAAAACATACCAAAAAAAATAATCACCAGGGTCAAAACTGGCCCACTATTATTATTTATCCTTATTGTCTTCTTTAGTCCCTTACTCTTCTTGGTATTATTATTGTTGTTGTTGTTGTTGTTGTTGTTGTTATTCATTGCACAGTCAGCCAGATGTTCAGACTGGATTTGGCATTTTTGTCTACCTATGGAGTCCTTACCAAGGACCTGTGATAGGCAGATGTGGTTGATGGTATTGCAGATCTGGTCACAGGATGGAAGCTGTTCCTAGTAAGGCTGCCTTTTGCAATTGACTGCTGGCAAATTTGTCAATGCCAGTGGTGTCCAAGTGACAATTCGCTATCAGTCAATTGCAAAAGGTAGCCTTACTAGGAACAGCTTCCATCCTGCAATGATGATGATGATGATGGTGTTTCTGTTGCTTTGCATGTACACTGAGAGCTGCCACACTGGAGACAAAATTCCTCTGTGTCTAATCACACAAATAAAGCATTCAAAGCTGCTTAGCATGGACATCTGCAGATAGGGGTTAAGATCCTCACTTTTTTTGACATCCTCCCCCCCCTTCCTGGGTATCCCTACCAAATTATAGTACTGGGCTAATGCCCGGCCCAGGTTTGTCCCTGATCTAGTTCAGGATAAATGCAAATCTTTCCTTTACCAGGTTGTGTGTAAAACAAGTCACCAAGTGAAGCCACACAATATGGTTTTATTGGTTTGGAAATTGCACGTTACATAAATACAGCCATTTATCAATGCACGTTTAGGGTTGAGCGCTTGTGCGAACCCGCCCAGTTTGCGGTGTCTGAATTTACTGCCGATATCAGGTCATCCTCAACTTACGACAGTTCATTTAGTGACCGTTCGAAGTTACAACGGCACTGGAAAAAGGGACTTGTGATATTTTTCACACTTACAACCGTTGAGGCGTCCCCACGGTCGCCTGATTTACATTTTGGATGCTGGACAACTGGCTCATATTTTTGCGACTTTCTGACCAGCCAAGTCAATTGGGGGGGGGAGCCAGATTCGTTTAACAACTGCAGCGATTGGCTTAACAAAAGAGGTTATAAAATGGGGCGCGACTCACCGGAACAGCTTGCTTAGCCACGGAAATTGTGGCCGTAAAGTTGAGGACCACCCGTATTTCCTTCCACAGCTGGAACAGCCCAATCCACCCTGCCTTTTTATGGTTATCCCAGCACTGTATGAACCCCAAAGAGCCCCCCACCCTTTTTCCCCACCCCCCCTCCAATTTCTCCCCCAGCATCTACCAACAACTGGGAAGTGGGGCCAGCAGAACCACAAGATAGGAAGTGAGTCATTCACCCCATCCAGTTTTGGGGTTTTTTTCAAGAGCGAGGTCCGAACATTGTCCAAATGTCCGCATCTGCGTGCCGTGAGACAGAGTCTAAAGCAGAGTTTTATCCGGTTTTGGGAACCTCTTCCCTTCGCCACAAAATCCAAAAGCAGTAAATCAGGCATCGTCCAGCGACCCAAAACTCCCCCCCCCCCAAAGTTTGGGCATTTGGAGAACATTCCTCCTGGATCTTCTGAACGAGACAATTCCGGACTCTGTTCCAAAGTCAACACACGGCGGCCCTTCAGCAGCTTTATCCCTTTTTTTTTACAATTCCTGAACCCCGATCAAATTTTAATTTAGTTCTTTGTTTGTTGCTGTCTTGCAGCAAATTGCTTCCTCCCACTTCTCTTAGCAAAAAAGGGGCTTCTTCTTCCCGGCCTGTTCTTGGTGCTGGATCCGTGTCTCTCTTCTTCCTCCTCCTCCTCCTTCTTCTTCTTCTTCCTCTCTCTCTTTCTCTCTCTCTCTCTCTAGAGAAAGTTCTCTCCACCACGAAGCCAAATAATTAAAAAAAAAAAGAATCCTCACCTCCCCCCCCAAAAAAACATAAATTTACCAAATAATAATAATAATAATAATATTAATAACAATATAAGTTGGTTTTTAAAAAAAAAAAAGAGAGAGAGAGAGAGAGAGAGAAAGAAAAAAATGCCTTTTTCGGGAAGACGAAAAGAAAAAGATGGGGAAAAAAGGCAGAAGGGAAAACGAAGCCGGCGTCCTTGCACTCCTGACTCCTTCCCCAGTGGGACCTTTCAGACATTCCAAACTGACCCGAACGGCAATCCCAAGTCCGCCACCGATCCTATTTCTCAGCTACACCGGCAGGATTTGACAATCATGTTGGAAAGTTGTTCTACTTTGGCTTGTCGCCCGACGTAGTAAATGATGCCCAGTGGCTCCAGCTCGTCGGGGACACAACAGGGTGCGGCTGAGGCCGAGGGGTTGTGCAGGTTGTAGAGAGCGAGGACCTAGGCGGAAGAGACAAGAGCAGCCTGCTTAGAGATGCAAGATTTCATAGTAAGGCCACACACCTGGAATACGGCGTCCAGCTTTGGTCACCACATCACAAAAAAAAAAAAGCTGTTGAGACTTTGGAAGAAGTACGAAGAAGAGCAAAGAGAGAAGCAACCTGGAACGAATCAGAGAGAGAAGCAACCTGGAACTAAGGAGAAATTTCCTGACAGAACAATTAATCAGTGGAACGGCTTGCCACTAGAAATGGTGGGTGCTCCAACACTGGAAGTTTTTAAAGAGGGACTGGACAACCATTTGTCTGAAATGCGATAGGATTTTCTGCCTGAGCAGGGGGTTGGACTAGATGACCTCCAAGGTACCCTCCAACTCTGTTATTTTATTCTATTCTATTCTGTTCTGTTCTGTTCTATTCTATTCCTCCATTCCATTATTCCATTCTATTCCTATTCTATTCCTATTCTATTCTATTCCATTCCATTCCTATTCTATTCTATTCTATTCTATTCTATTCTATTCTATTCTATTCCATTCCATTCCATTCTATTCCTATTCTATTCTATTCTATTCTATTCCATTCCATTCCATTCCATTCCTGTTCTGTTCTGTTCTATTCCATTCCAGTTCTATTCCATTCCATTCCATTCCATTCTATTCTATTCTATTCTATTCTATTCTATTCTATTCTATTCTATTCTATTCTATTCTATTCTATTCTTCTATTCTATATTCTACCCATCAGATGATCGAATATCTTCCCCAAGTGACACAATTGTGCAAAACTTTTAATTGGAAAGTCTGTTTTATTCTCCTCTTGTTTTTTCCCTACTCTAATAACCAATGGTTGTGTTCCTGTCTTTTATTGTACTCTTTTTAGGGCTAAAGCTGGTCAGACACCATAATAAAGAGGTGGGATTGGACTGGATTGGATTGGATTGGATTGGATAGTTTAGCCATCCAAACGAAGCCTTCAACACAGCTCTGGGCCACCCACATCTTTTCCCCCTACCATCTTGAACCCAACAGGCCATCAATCTTGGCTGGTTGAACGCCAGTCCCTTGTGCAACTGTTTAGCTCATGCCTTCTTCGGAGGGAGGTGCCAGCCTGTAAACCAACCGCAGGGTGGCTGAGTGCCCTGCTTTTTCATCCAAAGCCAGGAAATTAATTATCCTTCCTTGTTTTTGAAAACAACCCCAGTAGAAAACCAGGGATGTCCACAGAGCAGGGTCATTAAACTCCTAAAAAACCAATAAGGGCTTGACCGTTCCATAACCTGCAAATGTAATTTGAAGTTTATAAAAGTTGGGCCTGCTTCACAAAGGATGGGAAATTAGTATTCTTGCAATATACTTATCAATATTCAACTAAGGGGGAGATGATATATGTATATAGGTAGTCCTCGGCTTACGACCACAACTGAGCCCCAAATTTCTGTTGTTAAGTGAGACGTTTGTCAAGTGAGTTTTACGATCTTCCTTGCCACAGAGTTGTTAAACGAATCGCCGCAGCGGATAAGTCAACAACCCTGTTGTTAAGTGAATCTGGCTTCTCCATTGACTTGGCTAGTCAGAAGATCACAAAAGGGGATCACATGATCCCAGGACACTGCGGCCGTCATAAATATGAGTCAGTTGCCACACATCTGAATTTTTATCACGTGACCACGGGGATGCTGCAACGGTCGTAAGGGTGAAAAACGGTCATAAGGTATTTTTCCCAGGGTCCTTGTAACTTTCAACGGTCGCTAAATGAACTGCTTTGAGTTCAGGATTACTGTACGTGCCTCTTTTCTTTTTTTTAAACACACATTTTTAATATGCGGTTTATTTTTTGTTTTCGTAATAAAAAATAATTCCCCCTTTTTTGGGAGTTTTGTGTAAATACAAATAAAAAAGTTGAAAAGCAAAAAAAAAATAGTATTAAAAAAAATCAACCAGGGTGTTGAGGGCACCGTCTCAGCTGCCATCTTGACTTTTTTGACCACACTGGCCAGACAGCCCTGAGGGAAATGGGCAAACCGCTTTCCTTTACCTTGCTGTATTGAGTGTCCGAGCTCCAGAGATACGGACAAGGCCCCATGCAGAAATTGGCATAATAGCCTTTGGGTTCGTGGATCCACTTCCATTTTAAATCTTTTCGGAAGTCAATGTAGAAACGGCGTACGCAGCAATTCTTTGCTTCTGGTGATCTAGGAAAAAGGAGCCATAAAAATGCCAATATAATAGAGTAGAGTAGAGTAGAGTATAGAGTATAGAGGAGTATAATTATAGTATAGTATAGCATAGCATAGCATAGCATAGTATAGTATTGTATTGTATAATTATAATATAATATAATATAACATAGTATAATATAATTATAACATAACATAACATAACATAACATAACATAACATAACATAATGGAACAGAAATATAATGGAACAGAATGGAACGGAACAGAAATATAGTATAATGGAATGGAACGGAACAGAACAAAAATATAATGGAATGGAACGGAACAGAACAGAACAGAACAAAAATATAATATAATGGAATGGAACGGAACAGAATTACTTTGCTTGGCCAAGTGTGATTAGGTGTTCAGCAGAGAGATGGCACAAGGGAAAAAACTGTGTCTCACATATTTATTTGACTGATTGATCAATCAATCAAGTTTTAAAACAGCTGGTGGTGGGAAGCACCCAGCCTAGCAGGGACAAGGGGTCAAGCACAAAGCTAGCCTGGAGTCTCTGCGCAAGCGGAAAGGGGCTAGAAAAGAACATCCCCAAAGTTCCTTGGAGGCTTATATATTCGGTGACTGCCAGTCTGGGGAGATTCCTGTATTAGAGGCAGAATGTAATAAAGTAATAAAGCTCAGACTCTGCTTCACCCCTGACAGCGACTTACTGACTGCTGCAGAACTCTGCATCTGGAGCGGCCCGTTTTCTCCGCTTGTGACTTGAGGAATCAGCTCGTTCCGGAGTGGTGGCCATGATCAGCAGGTACGGCCGCTGCTTTGTGTCCAGACTTAATGGTCCCTGGTCCCCTCTTTTGGTGGCAATGCCTGCAAAGAAAAGTGGAGTCACTGACTTGCATTCTCCACAAAGTGACATGGGAGGCTCTGTTGAACTGGGAATCTGTTGCGATTTCCTCAAAACTCAGCTGGAAAACCGCTCTAAATTTTACCATGGATGCATCAGGAGGGAAGGAAGAATCCAAATTACAGGTAGAACAGACTAGGAAATAAGAATAGAATAGAATAGAATAGAATAGAATAGAATAGAATAGAATAGAATAGAATAGAATAGAATAGAATAGAATAGAAGAATAGAATAGAATAGAATAGAATAGAATAGAATAGAATAGAATAGAATAAGAATAAGAATAGAATTAGAACAGAATAATAATAATAATGATGATGATGATAAAGTTGGAAGGGACCTTGGAGGTCATCTAGTCCAACCCCCTGTTTAGGCAGGAAACCCTATACCATTTCAGACAAATGGCTGTCCAGTCTCTTCTTAAAAAATTCCAGTGTTGGCGCATTCACCGCTTCTGGAGGCAGGTTGTTCCACTGGTTAATTGTTCTCACTGTCAGGAAATTCCTCCTTAGTTCTAGGTTGCTTCTCTCCTTGGTTAGTTTCCATCCTTGGCTTCTTGTCCTGCCTTCTTCAGGCGCTTTGGAGAATAGCTTGACTCCCTCTTCTTTGGGGCAGCCCCTGAGATATTGGAACCCTGCTATCATGTCCCCCCTCGTCCTTGAGTGAGCATGCCAAAATAAGTCCAATTAAACGGGAGAAGAACACCCTTTAATAATATGACAAGTAGCTCTTGATTACGACTGTAATTAAGCCCAGAATTATAGCTATACGTCATGTCTGGTTGAGATGGTGGCTGATTTTGTGAGCTTGTTTTGAAGTTGCGTTAAGTGAATCCATTGTCCCCAATGGGCCTTTCTTCGCCGGCAACTGGAAGTAAAAGCCAGTTTCCAACCCAAAAAAGGATATAAATTGCGGTCTCATGACTGGGGGGGGGGTCATTGGAACTTCAAATCTGGGTCGTAAGTCATTTCTCGGGAGGTCCGTCGTAACTTTGAACAGTCACTAAGCTATTGGTCATAAGTTAAGGTCTATTTATAATATAGTACAGTGTTTCTCAATCTTGACAACTTTAAGACTGGCTGGGGAATTCTGGGCGTTGAAGTCCACCCGTCTTAAAGTCGCCAAGTTTGAGAAGCAAAGAGAAGAAGGGAGGTAGCTTCCGATATTCACAAGCGACTCCTCCATCATTTTGACCATCTTTTGACCAAAGCTTTCCTCTTAACTCATTACTCATACATTCTGAGCATCCGAGCACATGATGCAAGGTTGGCAGACAAATCAAAGATTAATTTTCTTTCCTTCACCCTCTTCTCCTCCCCCCCCCCAATCACCACCAACAGAAGGCCGCTAATTCCTTGCCAAAAAAAAATCTGACCGAGGCTTTCGTAAGCCGGAAGTCGCCCCAGAGGGAGCCTATTGCCTCCCTGATGACTCAACACGCACAACCCCAGCCACCAACGATGGGGGGGGGAGTGGCCGGCAGCTCCGGCGAAACGTTGAGACTGAAACGGGAAGGAGAAATTGGTGCGCTCATCCAGAGGTGCTTTGGGAGGAAGTTTTAGGAAGAATTAACGTTGCTAGGTGTGTTTTGGCGGCAAAATTCTTCAGAAGGGTGTATGCCTGGCAAGCAGGATCCCTCCAGTGGACTCTGCACATGGCCCCATCCTGATGGCCAGTGTCCCCTAATTTCAATCACCATGATACAAAGAAGAGGTTGAGACTCTAGAACAGTGATGGCGAACCTTTTAGAGACCCGAGTGCCCAAAGTGCAACCCAAAACCCACTTATGCATCGTTTGGTGCCGGGTGGGTGTGGCCCATTGGGTGGGTGTGGCCCATGGGGTGGGCGTGGCTGCAGTGGTAACGGCAGACTGGGTGGGACTAAAAAGTTCAATCAATCAATTCCAACTTTGCAAGATCTTTTTTTTTTCCCGCGAGAAGTTGAAATTGACTGATTGAACCTTTTTTTTTTTTGCACACGGCGGCGGAGGCCTAAAGCGAAAAGGTTTTATAAAACTCAGCTGAAGGCCTAGGACTGGGGCGACGGGGCACGTGCCCACAGAGAGGGCTCTGAGTGCCGCCTCTGGCACCCGTGCCATGGGTTCGCCACCACTGCTCTAGAAAGAGTGCAGAGAAGAGCATCAAAGATGATCAGAGGACCGGAGGCTAAAACATACCCGAAGGACGGTTGAGGAAATTGGGTATGTCTAGTCCAGGGGTAGGCAACCTTGGCTCTTTTATGACTCGTGGACTTCAACTTCCAGAATTCCTGAGCCAGCCAGGAATTGAAGTCCACAAATCCATGAGTCATAAAAGAACCAAGGTTGTCTACCCCTGGTCTAGTCTAACAAAGAGACCTTGGAGGTCATCTAGTCCAACCCCCTGCTCAGGCAGGAAACCCTACACCATTTCGGACAAATGGCTGTCCAGTCTCTTCTTAAAAACTTCCAGTGTTGGAGCATTTACTGCTTCTGGAGGCAGGCTGTTCCACTGATTAATTTGGACTAGGGGTGACATGATAGCAATCCTCCAATATTTGAGGGGCTGTTGCAAAGATGCTTTTCAAAAGGCAGATGCCTATGGAGATTCTCAGCACGGCTGGCTCAGGAATTCTGGGAGTTGAGTCCATGAGTCATAAAAGAGCCAAGGTTGCCTACCCCTATCCTAGCCTATTATGGGCACTCCTCGACTTACGACCGCTAAATGGTGTGGTGGTTAAGTAAGCCGAGTCTGATTCTACAACCTTCTTTTATTGGGGTTTTATGAGGCTGACATGGTTGTTAAGCAAATCTGGTCGTAAATTGGCAAACCCATGACCCTAGGATGCTCTAACAGCTAAACATATGCTGGATGTCAAGTACCTGAATTTTGATCCCATGAAAGCAGGGATGTTTCGACAGTCATAAATGTGAAGACTGGATATAAGTCACCGTTTTCAACGGCTGTTGTAACTTCAAACAGCCACTAAAGCAGTGGTTCTCAACCTGTGGGTCGGGACCCCATTTGGGGTCGAACGACCATTTCACGGGGGTCGCCAAACAACGCAGTCCGCCATTTTTTTTCCCCTTTTCCTTAGCTGTGCTACTCCCTTTTATTCTATTGGCTTTTGAAAGCCAATCGAATAGACTCTTGAATAGAGTCTAATTCTATTGGCTTTCAAAAGCCAATCGGAATTGTCCAGGCTGTCTCTGCCCTGCTGAGCCCGCCAAAAGTCCCGTTCTGCAAATGGTGCTGCACCAGTTGAGTAGTCCTCGACTTACGACTGGTTGAGTAGTCCTCGACTTATGACCGGTTGGGGGTCGCGGCATTAAAAAGGTTGAGAACCACTGCACTAAAGGAATAGTCATAAGGCGGGGACTACTGGTGTCTCCCCAGAGATTCTAGCCCACAGGGGTGTATGGGAGCTACAGCCATTATTTAGATAACTTAATAAGCAATGGGGTCAAATGAGACCTTGGCCAGGAGCAGACCCCACCCAGCCCAGCCCACTCTCCTTTGCCCAACTCTTACCTTCGATTTTTATCGTTAGATCATTTCGTTTGCCATCACAGGAACAATGAGTGCTAAGTCGAAATCTTCCCAGCTCATCTGAAAGACATACATTAGGACTGGGGGGGGGGGTCCAGGATTGGTGGTCTCCCTAAAGCCAGCATGCTGTTTCAGAGAAGCTTGGTGGACTTCAACTCCCAGAATTCCTCCAGCCAGCATGCTTTCTTAATAGAATAGAACTGGAAGGGACCTTGGGGGTCTTCTAGTCCAGCCCCCCACTTAAGCAGGAGAACCTATATCATCTCAGACAAGTGACTGTCTAGCCCAGTGGTTCTCAACCTGTGGGTCGGGACCCCATTTGGGATCGAACGACCATTTCACGGGGGTCACCAAACAACACAGTCCGCCATTTTTTTCCCCCTTTTCCTTAGCTGTGCTACTCCCTTGTATTCTATTGGCTTTTGAAAGCCAATAGAATAGACTCTCTTGAATAGAGTCTAATTCTATTGGCTTTCCAAAGCCAATAGGAATTGTCCAGGCTGTCTCTGCCCTGCTGAGCCCGCCAAAAGTCCCATTCTGCAAACGGTGCTGCACCAGTTGAGTAGTCCTCGACTTACGACCGGTTGAGTAGTCCTCAACTTACGACTGGTTAGGGATCGCGGCATTAAAGAGGTTGAGAACTACTGGTCTAGCCTCTTCTTCAAAATCTCCAGTGATGGCGCTCCCAGAACTCCCCAGCCATCATACTTTGAGATGCATGGACTTCAACTCCCACAATTCCCAGCCAGCGTGTTTTAAGATGCATGGACCGCAACTCCCACAATTCCCAGCCAGCATGCTTTAAGATGCGTGGACTTCAATTCCCACAATTAGCACTTTTTATGAGGTATGGACTTCAAAACTCCCACAACTCCCAGCCAGCATGCTTTAAGATGCGTGGACTTCAACTCCCACAATTAGCACTTTTTATGAGGTATGGACTTCAAAACTCCCACAACTCCCAGCCAGCATGCTTTAAGATGGGTGGACTTCCAACTCCCACAATTCCTCAGCCAGCACACTTTGAGATGCGTGGACTTCAACTCCCAGAATTCATCAGAATTCACCAGCATTCTGGGAATTGAAGTCCGCCCGTCTCAAAGCTGCTACGTTTGAGCAACCCTGCCTTATTTGCAGACAGGTTTCTGAAAATTGAGTCTACAAAGGAGAGCAAGTCCCCAGGGCCACCCCAGGTCATGCGCCCTCCTTACACCCTACCTCTACTTGCGAGCCACAACCGGAGGACGTTGGTGACATCAAAGGAGAGCCATTCTTTTTCGCTCTTCACCTTCACCGACAGCCCTTGCAGGTAGTACCAAGTGGAGTCATTCCCAGAGTGGGCTTTTTGCTAAGGACAGACGGACCAGACAGAACGCATCAAGGAGCAGCTTTTGTGCACATTTACCCAGCCGGACAAAATACCCTGCCTGCTTTCTCCTCCAGCTTTTGAGCTTTCGGTTTTAAAAGAAAAAGTTTCTAATCCTCAAAACGTTTCGCTGCTCTTTTTCTGCTACTGGGACAGAACCAAGAGGCAAAGTTTCCTCCCCCCCCCCTCAAAAAAGTGGTCCCTTTGGCAGTGTCATTTAACCTCACCACACAAAAAAAAAGTCGGTTGTGCAAGTGAGGTTGGCAATAACATTTCACACTAAAAGAAATTTAATGAGGTTTCGTTTTTCAATTTCCTTACCGTTACAGCAGGAGTGTCCAACCTTGGCAACTTTAAGGCCTGTCGAATTCTGGGAATTGAAACCCACAAATCTTAAACGTTACCAAGGTTGGACATCCCTGAATTAGAGAGATCTCCTTTCGATTCTGTCGTAACATCGAACGGTCACTAAACGAATGGTTTGCATCAAAGACGACCTGTATTCTGGGAACGGTTGAGGAGGAGCTGTCTTCACCCTCTTTCTCCCACACAAACTAGCTAGGCTTTGCTGTCTCTGGAATGCAGCCCCTCCCTTCTGGGAATCCAGACTACGTTCCACCCCATCCTACCTGGTAAAGCTCCATTCGCTGCTCTTGTCCGTTCCCAGAGGCGTACATCCTCAGCTCTGCACGGTATACCAAGTTGGGGTCGCTAAGGACCTGCCGGATTGGTCCGATTTCGAATCCAAAGTAGACGTTTTGGTCATCCTTCTTGTACTGGTCGCCGTAGCTTGCTGAGACAGGAGAGAGGAAGCAGAGCAGGAGTTTAGCCAAAGGTCTTCCAGCCTTGGCCACTTTGAGATGAATGGACTGCAGGATCCAGAATTCCCCAGCCAGCATGGGAATTCTGGGAGCTGAAGCCCACCCATTTTGAAGCAGGCTAATTGGGGGAATTCTGGGGTTCGCCCATTATAAGTTTCATTAGTGTTTTAGAGTTGGTAACTTTTAAGGCTTGTGGATTTCAACGTGACGGTTGAGGAATTCTGGGAGTTGAAGTCCACAAGTCTTCAAGTTGTCAAGTTTGGACACTCCTGGTTTAGAGAAAGAGAAAACTACCCATCAGTCTTCAGAGATTGGTAGAACTACATCTTCCAGCCGTCTCAGCCAGGAGGGAAAGGAGCAACTGACTGGGGGATTCTGGGAGTTGAAGTCCATACATCTTAAAGTGACTAAGGTTGAAAAATTCTGTCTTAAACTCAGCAAGGGACAAACTCTTTTATTCAGCCTCACAATAATGCAGCCAGGAGCTTATCCCGAGAAAAAGACCATCATGGTCCAATTCACACAAGCTTCTAAACCAGGGGTCTTCAAACTTGGCTGCTTTGAGACTTGTGGACTTCAACTCCCAGAATTCCTCAGCCGTCACGTTGAAATCCACAAGCCTTAAAAGTTACCAACTCTAAAACACTAATGAAACTTATAATGGGCGAACCCCAGAATCCCCCAATTAGCCTGCTTCAAAATGGCCGTGCTGACTGAGGAATTCTGGGAGTTGAAGTCCACAAGTCTTAAAGCGGCCCAGTTTGGAGACCCCCTGTTCTAAACCCAGGTTAACAAACCACAATGGCTCCGTTCATATGACAAGCAACATTCAAACGCGAACTATTGTCTGGCCTAAGGTGATGGTCTTGCCGAGTTTATTAACCAAATTTAAATTACAGGTAGTTCCCCCACTTATGACTGCAATCGAGTCCAATATTTCTGTTGCTAAGTGAGACAATTTTGCCTCATTTTATGACCTTTCTTGCCACAGCTGTTAAGTGAATCACTGCAGCTGTGTAATGAGTAACACAATCGTTTAGCAAATCTGGCTTTCTCATTGATTGTGCTCATTGCAAAAGGGGTCACATGACTCCGGGACGCTACAACTGGCACAACTACGAGTCAGTTGCCCTGAATTTGTGACCGTGGGGATGCTGCAACCTTTATAAGTGTGAAAAGCAGTCATAAGTCACATTTTTTTTTAGTGTCATTGTAGCTTCAAATGGTTACTCAAGAAGATTCATCACTCCCTTTTAAGCCAGCTCAGCAGAATCAGCAAATCAATCCATGGGTTTTGTGTTCAAGATCTGAGCCCAGCCAGCTCTAGGGGTCAGGCCCAGCTGTATGACCTCTGGGGGTCAGTTGTTTTCGGAAGACTAGCTCATCCCACCATCCATCCAGGCAAACCGGCAGATTTCCAGAAGACACACACCAACCTCAGCCCAACCTCGGGTTTTTTTGTTTTTTGCCCGTATGACTTCGTCACAGCATCTATTTCGGCTACAGGAAGAGGCTATTTTTAAAGTTTTTCTCTTCCTTGTGAGATCAAAGGAGCTTTGACTTTGGTCAAACAGACAGAGATCATGGGTTTGTTTTTTTGTTTTTTTTTTCAGTTTCTCTCCAAGTCTCCAACCACAGCATTAAGGATTGTTCGGTTTTTGTTTTTTGTTTTTTCAAAAATATGTACCGTCTTCCGTTGCAAACAAACAGGACACAGCAATTTGGAGAAAACAAAGATAGAATCCAGGGTGAGGAAATTGGAAGGAAGAAAGGAAAAAAAACTTCAGAGGAGGAAAAACAAAATATTTTGTATGTCTAATAAAAGAGAAGAGAGCAAGTAAACGAGAGAGAGAGAGAGAGAGAGAGAGAGAGAGAGAGAGAGAGAGAGAGAGAGAGAGAGAGAGAAAAGGAAAAAGACGATAGAAAGATGATAAAGAAAAAAGAAAGAAGGAAGAAAAGAAAAAAGCAAGAAGGAAGGACAGAAGAAAGAAAGAAAGAAAGAAAGAAAGAAAGAAAGAAAGAAAGAAGCAAAAAAGCAAGAAAGAACGAAGGACGGAAGAAAGCAAGAAAGAAGGAAGGAAGAAAGAAAGAAAGAAAGAAAGAAAGAAAGAAGAAAAAAGCATGAAAGAAGCAAGAAAGCAAGAAAGGATGGAAGGAAGGAAGAAAGAAAGAAGAAAAAAGCATGAAAGAAGCAAGAAAGAAAAAGAAAGAAAGAAAGAAAGAAAGAAAGAAAGAAAGAAAGAAAGAAAGAAAGAAAGAAAGCATTCCCCAGGTTGCCAACTGACCTAAGGAGATTGGCTTTGTCTGCTCTTCTGCCCTCCATTTGCAGAAAGCAGCCAATGTAAACTTGCAGAAGTGTGAACTTAACCAACCAGCCCAGGAAGAACGGGTGAAAAACAAAATCGCATTTTTCCAGAGACCGTCCTTCGAGCTCCCATGAAATCATATCGTGTTTTCCCTTCCAGATGTTGGGAGTCTGACTCAGCTGTGGGGTCATCTCTGAAGCTGCCAGATATTTTTATCCCGCGCCCAGCCTCAGCTGCCTCGGTTGCAAAGAGCTGCTCTGGGTCCTGCACCCCTTAAAACTGGGGTCCCCCAAAAAGGCAACTTTAAGACTTGCGGAGTGTTAGTTGAAGTCTGCAAGTCTTAGTTGCCCCGTTTGGGGATCCCTTCCTCAAAGCACCGAAGCCCTGGGTGGGGGGGGGGGGAGAAGAGAAGCAGGAAAGTTGGCTTCTCTGTCCACATCATCCCAGCCACCACCACTAGGGACCACTTCCCTATCAGTGACATGACAGGAAAAATTGGCCCCCAGGTTTCCCACTTCCCCTCTTTGGGTTTGGATGTGGTCATCTTTTTTTCATTGTTTCCAGATGACGTGGCCAAGGGGAGGAGAGTGGCTGCAATTTCTTGAGAAAAAAACAACAGAAAAAGGCATTTTACAGCTGATGTTTTACAGCTGCAAAAAGGGAGATAAGGCGTAGGGCCTTATCAGCCGGAGGAAATTCCCAAACTATTTTGGGACTTTCCAACATGACAAAGCCTAGAAATAAAACGAGGAGGAACCGGTTTGTCCTACTCGCTCCCCTAAATTAGAAGTCGTGGAACTCGGTTCCCCGCTGACCTCAGTTTTCCTTGATCCGATCCCGAAAAGGGTTTCTAAACGGAAGATCTTGCGTTTGGTCTTAAAACACACCGGCTAGGGGATTCTGGGAGTTAACATCCATCCGATTTAAAGCGTGAGCTCTGGGGAATTCTGGGAGTTGAAATCCATGCATCTTAAAGCATGCTGCCTGGGGAATTCTGGGAGTTGAAGTCCACCCAGCCAAAACATACAGTCTGGGGGATTCTGGGAGTTGAAACCAACCCATCTTAAAGCATGCTGCCTAGGGACTTCTGGGAGTTGAAGTCCACCCAACGAAAATATACAGTCTGGGGGATTCTGGGAGTTTTAAGTCCACCTATCTTCAAGTTGCCAAGCTTTATGTGTGTTTTTTTTTAAAAAGCCCTCCCTTTTGGGGTACACACCGTCTTCTTACTTCAGTGTAAACCTCACTGGGGACGCAGGTATGAACCACCGGTACCATGGCAGATATGATTCATTGTAGGCCTATTGCTCTCTCTGATGTAGCCCTGGATCTTCACTTCAGGGGGTTAGACTAGAAGACCTCCAGGGTCCCTTCCAACTCCTATTCTCCAAGGGACCTGAAGGCAGGACAAGAAGCAACAGGTGGAAACTCATCAAGGAGAAAAGCAACCTAGAACTAAGGAGAAACTTCCTGACAGTGAGAACAATTAACCAGTGGAACAACCTGCCTCCAGAAGAGGTGAATGCTCCAACACTGGAAGTTTTTAAAAAGAGACTGGACAGCCATTTGCCTGAAATAGGATAGGGTTTCCTGCCTGAGCAGAGGGTGGGACTAGATGACCTCCGAGGTCCCTTCCAACTCTGTTATTCTGTTCTGTTCTGTTCTGTTCTTATTTACCCCACAGAATTGACACCAGTGGCTGATCCTTTGGATCTGGAAAGTCTCCCCTTGGCTTTGGGGCGGCTGTGGGAGGACAGAAAAGGACCGGATGGGGCTTCTGGGGGGGGGGTGAAGAACCTCAAGCCACAAGGGGAAGTTGGTTTTGGGACCAGGTGGGGGTCCTTATCCCCGAGAAGGGGCACAAGACATCCGTCTTTGGAGCATCAGCTTATCAGCAGCCCCAAGGCTTTGCTAAGTCATGCTACCGGATGGGTTTGTGTCAGCTCTCCCCACAACGTGCACTCCCCAACACACACACACACACACACAAACACACGCACGTGTGGGGCTAGAGTCTTTGAGTCTCGCCTCTTGTGCGACTTCCCTCGTTCTCCCCTGGGTGACACTAAACCACAGAAGCCACTCGGGGCTTGTCTGTGGAAAAGCACTCTGCACGCGCACCCAGGCGCCCTTCCTACTTTTCATGGCACGGCTTCGGGCTTTCTGCATGGATGGGATGAATTGAGGGTGCTGGGCAGTGCCACTTTGGTAGGCTGGGCTGGCTGGCATGGTGTGAAACTGGCTACAATTTCATTGCACATGACAGAATAACAGCTGGGACAGGCCTTGGAGGTCATCTAGTCCATCCCCCAGCTCAGGCAGGAAACCCTATGCCATTTTAGACAAATGGCTGTCCAGTCTCTTCTTGAAAACCTTCAGCGATGGAGCACCCACAGCTTCTGGAGGCGAGTCGTTCCACTGGTTAATTGTTCCAACTGTCAGGAAATTTCTCCTTAGTCCTGGACTGTTTTTCTCCTCCTTTAGCTTCCATCCGTTGCTTCTTCTCCTGCCTTCCCTTTGGAGAATAGGTTGACCCCCCTCCCTCAAAGATTGGAAGACTGCCATCCTATCAGCTGTCATAAAGTGCCAGATTGAGGCCTTCAAATGTCAGAATCTTAATTTATTTTTATTTTTTTTTAACTTTCTGCCTCTTCTGTCTTTTGCAAGATTGGGAAGGAAAATTTGCACGAGGAGCTTGGAAAAAAATTAGGGAGGGAGGGGGAATGGGCCCTCACGCACAATCAGCAGGATATGATGATCAAAGCCAGTGAACCAAGGTGGCTAAATTAACAGAGCCTCCAGGGGCAGAAGCAGTCTACCTCAGGCGACCAGCAAGCAATCCATGGGAAACACGCTCCCCAAGTGAGCATAAATGCAATTTAACAACAAAACCGGACCATCTATTGCCAAGTGGATTTGGCTCAGTTTATACAGGTGGTCCTCAACTTATGACCACAACGAGCCCCAAATTTATGTTGCTAAGCCAGACAGGTGCTAAGTCAATTTTGCCCTAGATTATCACCTTTCTTGGCCTACTTGCTAAGCGAACCACCGCAGGTGTTTCAGTTAGTAACACAGCCGGCTTGCCCGTTGACTTTGCTTGTTCAGACGGTCGCAAAAGGGGACGATCACGTGAGCCCGAGACACCGCAACCGTCATAAATCCGAGTCAGTTGCCAAACATCTGAATTTTGATCAGTTTGAGGATGCTGGAATGGTCACAAGTGTGAAAAAGTCATCGTTTTTCAGTGCTACTGAAGCTTTGGTCACTAAATGAACCATTGTAAGTCAAGGACCACCTGTACTCAGGAGTCAAGTGATGGAAGTGAAGTGGATCGCACAAACAGCAAAAAAGAAAAACGGGTCTGTTTTTCTTTTTTTGCAGAAACCCGTCCAGGCCAAACCTCCTTTGGGGAGAATTTAAGCCCTACAGCACAACACACACTTACGGAAAAGTCTTCTTGTGCTTACGCAAACTTTTTCCCGGATTCCCGGGCTGGCTGGCACGCGCCGGGAAGGGGAGGGAAGCAGTAGAGAATCCATCTTACCTTCTAGAAGACCACAAGAACTACAAAAGTTGCCACCCACGCCTGGAGGGCCCGTGGATTTGTTCAGGCGGCACGCCAGCCACACCCAGCAGGTAATTACACCTTGAACCAAGACGGAGTTGGCTGCAATCTGGGTGGGATCTGTGTCTTTTCGGCAGACTCTTGTTCCCCCCCTCTCTGCCCTCCCCTCCTCTGTCTGTCATCTCCCCGCTGCAGTTCCAAGAAGTCCAAATGCTAATTTTTGCAGCCTGTGGGAAGTTTGATAGCCAGATATATGTTATTCTTTATACCCTTTCCATCTTCCCTTTAAAACACGAACAGAATCCACAACGGGGACTGAGAATCCGTGTCTCCAGCGTGTAACTGACAGTCAAGCGGAAACTCAGCGAATCGACTAAAATTGACCCAATCCGCCTATCAAAGGATAAGGTCTGCAAATACAAACAGGGTTAGTTAAATGAAGTCTTCCAGAGGGACTGCAGGTTCCCAACAGTAGACCCCATAGACCAGTGGTTCTCAACCTTTTTAATGCCGCGACCCCCAACCGGTCGTAAGTCGAGGACTACTCAACCGGTCGTAAGTCGAGGACTACTCAACGGGTGCAGCACCGTTTGCAGAATGGGACTTTTGGCGGGCTCAGCAGGACAGAGACAGCCTGGACAATTCCGATTGGCTTTTGAAAGCCAATAGAATGAGACTCTATTCAAGAGAGTCTATTCGATTGGCTTTCAAAAGCCAATAGAATAAAAGGGAGGAGCACAGCTAAGGAAAAGGGGGAAAAAATGGCGGACTGCGTTGTTTGGCGACCCCCGTGAAATGGTCGTTCGACCCCAAATGGGGTCCCGACCCACAGGTTGAGAACCACTGCCATAGACATACACACAAAACAAGGCAAGCACGAACCCCTAAAGGGTCACCCTAGAATCGGCTACATAGACGCTCCCCTTGTAAAACTCTGTTGCTGCACCCCATTTTCCTGCAGCTGTCCTGAAAGGCAGTCTGTTTTGCTTTTAGGGATAAAAGATTTCTTCTTTTCTCACAGGTGTCTGGATCGCATTTTTAATTTATTCTTGCAGGTTGGAAGCCCAAAATACTTTTCTGACAAGCCGGACGAATTACGTGCCCGACAGGGTGGCCACAAAACATGGCTTGCGATGGTTGGCGACGGTAAACCTGGTGGCCAGCTTCTTTCTCGCCCTCGCCTGTTCAGCTCCTGTGGTTTTTTAGCTTCAGGCCCTGATAGAGAGCCAAATGCATCCTGGTTAATTCTGCCAGCTTTGGCCTGGCTTTGGTCCTCTGCATGTGTAAATCCAGAACGTTACAGGCTTTCCTGCTCGCAAAGGAGGGTTGGACTAGAGGACCTCCAAGTATCCCTTCCAACTCTTATTCTGCCATTCAATTCGGCTTTTGGTCTGGGTAGTTCTTGACTTATAAGCGCTCATTTAGTGACCATTTGACGTTGCAACAGCACTGAAAAAAGCACTGATTATTTTTCACACTTATGACCGTTGCAGCCTCCCGGCGGTCACGCAATCAAAATTCAGACACTTGCCAACTGACTCACGTTTATGACGGTTGCAGCGTCCCGGGGTCAAGTGACCTTCTGTTGAGCAAAGTCAACGGGGGAAGCCGGCTTCACTTAACAACCGGTGACTAACAACCGCAGTGATCCATTTACCGACCGTGGGAAGAAAGGATGTAAGATGACGCAAAAGTCACTGAACGACCGTCTTCCTTAGGTCAGGTTGGGCTCAATGGTGGTCGTAAGCCGAGGACTTACCTGTACAAGGGCCAAGCATTCTCACCAGCAGCGGGACCTCAAGCCTGCCCAACCAACCTTGGTTTGCCCCCGCCATTGCTCCCCCCCCCCTGGGCGAAGCTGAGTTTGCAAAAATAGCCAGAGAAAAACACATCCGCTTCATTTACTTTGCTTCAGTAAAAGAGTTTCTACAAGTATAGCATTGGAGGCAGGTGGCGGGGCGGGGGGAAATACCAAAGAGAGCCAAGAATTAAGGGAGAAGCGTCAGGAGCTCGCACCCACCCCCCTTTCTGAAAATAAGCTTTTTTGGGGAAAAAAACACTTCCTCCTAAAACTACCGATTGGGCTTGCAGAAGTGAAACCGAGGCCCACTTTATTTTATTTTCCCCTTTGGAGAAAAGGGCCCGGGATTTAATCGCAGCATCCAGCAGAAGCGATCGGGATAGTTTTCCTCTGCCGGCCACTTGCCTCTTTCCTCTGCTCAGGTCACCTTTCTGAAAGTTAGCATCAGGCCGACCTGGGATGCTTGCAAGGAAGCCGAGTGAAGGTGCCGGAAGCTGTTTCCGGTCTTTGGGATTTGTGTTTTGGGCAGAAACGGGCAGGATGGAGCGACGAGCAAGTCTGTGATGCTGCAAGGCAAAAGTCTCCCTAACATGTTTTGTGTGTGATATTGTGTTGCAGGTACAAAGGGATAGAATTTGCATGGTGATGTCAGGATACAGGTCTCCTGGCACCAGCAAGGTCATATGGGATCAGAGAACTCCGTGTATTTCCATTCCATTCCATTCCTCCACTCCACTCCACTCCACTCCATTCCATTCCATTCTATTCTATTCTTATTTCCTATTCTTATATTCTATTCTATTTTATTCCATTCCATTCCATTCTATTCCTCCACTCCACTCCATTCCATTCTATTCCATTCTATTCTTATTTCCTATTCTATTCTATTCTATTCTATTCTATTCTATTCTATTCTATTCTATTCTATTCTATTCTATTCCATTCCATTCCATTCTATTCCTCCACTCCACTCCACTCCATTCCATTCTATTCTATTCTATTCTTATTTCCTATTTCCTATTCTTATTCCCTATTCTATTCTATTCTATTCTATTCTATTCTATTCTATTCTATTCTATTCTATTCTATTCTATTCTATTCTATTCCTTCCACTTCCACTCCACTCCACTCCATTCCATTCCATTCCATTCCATTCTATTCTATTCTATTCTATTCTATTCTATTCTATTCCATTGTACTGTACAGATAGTCCCCAACTTATGGCAGCTCAGCCCAAAGTTACTGTTGCTAAGCGAGATGTTTGTTAAGTGTGTTTTGTCACATTTTATGACCTTTCTGGCCTTAGTTGTTAAGTGAATCTCTGCAGTTCTGAAGTTAGTAACCCGGTTGTTAAGTTAATCTGGCTTCCTCATTGACTTTGCTTGTCAGAAGGTTGCAAAAGGGGATCCCGGGACACTGCGACCACCATAAATGTGACCTTGGAGGTCATCTAGTCCATCCCCCTGCTCAGGCAGGAGACCCTTCTCTGCTTCTCCCCCCCACCCCCTCCTTCTCCTCAGAATAACAGAGTTGGAAGGGACCTTGGAGGTCATCTAGTCCATCCCCCTGCTCAGGCAGGAGACCCATTCCAGACAAGTGGCTGTGCAGACGATCCAGTGACGGTCTATGGCAGAGATCTCCAACCATGGCAACTTTTAAGACCTGTGGACTACAATTCCCAGAATTCCCCAGCCAGCTCTGCTGGCTGGGGAATTCTGGGAGTTGAAGTCCACAAATCTTAAAGTTGCCAACGTCGGACCCCCCCCCTCCTCTATGCTTGGCGAAAGCGCCAGCATTTTAAAGCCTCTTTTCCGACTCACCCGTTTTGAACAGTTTGTCAAAAGGGGCGCCCCCAAAACTCCAGATCTCCTTCTACAGGGCCGAGGAAGTCCCCAAACCCTGAGATCTGAAGCGGGTTGAGATAAGTCCTTCTCCTTCCTTCTCCATCAACGGAGGAAGCATCGTCTTCCTTAAGGACCTGGGTCAGCCTGCAGCCAGCGTCACAAACCAGCCCACTCACCAACCAACCAAGGGACAATCTGCTGTTTCCTAACACCCCGGTGCTCCCCTTCACCGTGCCTGCCCCCCCCCATCCCATCCCCTGTCCGGACTCACGGTGGTCAACGGAGAGCATCGTGAAGCGGTGCACCTCCTTGGCGTAGTACTCTTCGTGGACGGTCTCCTGCGGCTCTTCGGCTGCCATTTCCCGGATCACCTCCAAGGTGCTGTTGTAGAGGGCCATCACCTCCTCCGACAGGACCCTCGGCTCCGCGTCTTCCACTTCGGGGGGCTTCGGAAACTTGAGCTTGCTCAGGATCTGACCCCGGATGGCCTCGATCCGCTTCCGTTTCATCAGGTCCATGTCCAGGGTCTTGCAAGTGGAGAAGGCCCAGCTGGAGCAAAGCTGCTGGAGGACCACCAAGAGGAGGAAGAGCCAGCCCGTGGCCTGCTGCGAGACCCCCGGCGCCCCCAGGAAGCCCCAGGGCCTGTTGCCGCTTCTTGACCCCATCATGGCGCTGTTTCCTCCCGTCTTCTGCTGGCAGCTGGCTGTCTCAAAGTTCTCTGCCTTTCCAGCTAAGGAGCTGGTGAAAGTTCCTTCTCAAAAAAGATCTTTGTGGTTCTCCCTCTGGCCGTCCAGCAGCCGTCCAGCCGGAGGGCTCGACAGACACCCTCCGGGCTCTCTCTAGTCTGAACCAGCTCAGCTTTCAGGCAACGGGTTTCCAGGAGGGACAGACACTCACGCTACTGCCTGGCACCACCGAGGCAGCCCATGTGTCCGGATGCCGCATCTATCCAAACACCCCTGGCACCGGATCAGAGGGTTCCCGTGCCCCTCTCTGGGCAGAGGCTTGCAGAGTCTCCCGGCTTCGCTTCAGGAAGCCTAGGGGGTCCTCAAGAAGCTGTCACAAGCCAGAGGCCTTGGGACCTCACCGGAATGTGACCACGCTTGGCAGGCAGGCAGCGCAGGCAGGCAGGCAGGCAGGCGGTCTTGGGGAAAGGAGAGCCTCTGGGTCAGCCCTGGCAGATGCCACCACTTCTCCTCCCCTGGAGCCAACTGGCCCGTCCCTGTCTTCCTCTGCGTGAAGGGCTGTAATTTCACCACTCTTGTCGGGACTTGCTGACGGCGAGCTCGGAGGTTTATAAAGCCGTTTTTTGCCTCTCCCCGGCACCGGCTCCACCCAGGAAGTGGAGGGAAAGCCCTGTGCTGTATATAACTTGCACTCAGGGAGAGAGTGGTGGACAGTTACTCCGGAAAGAAAGAAAAGAGAGAAAAGAAAGAAAAAAGGAAGGAAGAGAAAAGGAAGAAAAAGAGAAAGAAAGAAAGAAAAAGAAAGGAGAAAGAAAAAAAGAAAAAGAGAAAGAAAGAAAGGAAAAAGAAAGGAGAAAGAAAAAAAGAAAAAGAAAGAAAGAAAGGAAAAAGAAAAAGAGAAAGAAAGAAAAAGAGAAAGAAAAAAAGAAAGGAGAAAGAAAAAGAAACAAAGAGAAAGAAAGAAACAAAGAATAGAAGGAAGGAAGGAAGGAAGGAAGGAAGGAAGGAAGGAAGGAAGGAAAGAAAGAGCTTCTTGCATTTCTTTCTTTCCCATCTACCCTATCTACCTTCTTTTCTTTGTTTCGTCCCCACCACCATCCCTTTTTCTCCATCCCTCTCTTTTCTCAACAAACAAAACCTGGCAAACAGCGAAATGTATTTACTGCTAGGTAAAACAAGGCCGGGAGGGATGTCTGCTATTCTGGACCAGCAAAGAGGATAAGGAGCCTAGAGGCTAAATCCAAGATGAACAATTGAGGCAACTGGGAAGGTCTAGTCTAGCCAAGAGAAGGACTAGGTGGTGACATGATAGGTGGGTTCCAAAACTCCAGGGGATGCCACGAGGAAGAGGAGGGGGTCAACGTATCCTCCAAAGCGCCTGAAGGCAGGACAAGAGGCAGCAAATGGAAACGAAACAAGGAGAGAAGCAACCTGGAACTAAGGAGAAACTTCCTGACAGTGAGAACAATCAACCAGTGGGGGACAGAAGTTGCCTCTAGAAGTTGTGGCTGCTCCATCACTGGAGGCTTTTAACAAGAGACTGGACAGCCATCTGACCATGTATAGGGCAGTGGTTCTCAACCTGTGGGTCGGGACCCCATTTGGGGTCGAACGACCATTTCACGGGGGTCGCCAAACCACACTGTCCGCCATTTTTTTCCCTTTTCCCTAGCTGTCCTACTCCCTCTTATTGGTGGCCACACCCACTTGGGGGTCACCACAACATGGGGAACTGTATTATGGGGTCATGGCATTAGAAAGGTTGAGAACCACTGGTATAGGGGCTCCTGCTTGAGCACTGGGCTGGACTAGAAGGCCTTCAAAGTCCCTTCCAACACTGTTATTCCGTATTCTTTATTGGCAGACTCACCTCTCCCCTTTAAAAAAAGGCATCCCATTCCTTAACTGGGGAAAGTGGCAGAGCCACGTCCTCTGGGCTATGCCACGGAAGCTGAGAACGAGGTGGCTACAGGTAGAATACAGCTTGAATGGACATTGGAGCCACGTAGCCAACAGACAGGAGATTGATGTGGATCATGGCACATGGCCACCCTCCTTTCCAGACCAGGGAGGAACAGAGCTACGCAAGCAAGCGACGACGCTGCTTGCAAAACCCCAAGACCATCTTTATAAATCACGATATGGGTGAGGAAAAAAAAAAAAACCCACCTCCATCCATTTTTGGTTCACACCAAGTTTCCTGGCTACGCTCCAGGTCCACGGTTCAGCTTCCCAGCTTCTCCCCGTCACCAGATATTTAAAGCCTCGTCTTTCTTAAAGACCTTAAGGTCACCGGCCAGTCAATTCATTCCCCCCCCCCACTCCCCTCCTTTCCACCCTATCCCGATATAAGATGGTTTGCCACATGCCAGGCGAGAGGGCAATTCCAGCCGTAGCCGAGGCTGAGCTATTTCGGAGCAGCTGCATTGGGGGGAGGAAAGGGGGCTTCGGGGGTTGAGTTACACCCCCCAAATGCATTCAAACCATGTTACACGTGGCGAGATCCAATTTTGGGCTGCAGGTTCAGGACGTTGTTATAGGGTAACTAGCTAAGGAAAGAGGTTGGACAACCATTTGTCTGAAATGGGATAGGGTTTCCTGCCTGAGCACGGGGTTGGACTAAATGACCTCCAAGGTCCCTTCCAACTCTGACATTCTATTCCATTCCATTCCATTCCATTCCATTCCATTCCATTCTTCTATTCTATTCTATTCTATTCTATTCTATTCTATTCTATTCTATTCTATTCTATTCCATTCTATTCCATTCCATTCTATTCTATTCTATTCTATTCTACTCTACTCTACTCTACTCTATTATTATTCTAGTCTAGTCTATTATTTTTTCTCTGTCCCTTTCTCAAGTCATGTTCGCCTGTTATATTAACTCAGCCACTGAAGGTGTGGATTGGACTACAATCCACATTCCCCACCGTCACCACCCGATATACAGGCAGTCCTCACATTTATGACGGTTGCAGTGTCCTGGGGTCACGCGATCTCCTTTTGCAACTTTCTGACAAGCAAAGTCAATGGATAAACCAGATTCGCTTAATCACCATGTTAACTAACTTAACAACTGCAGTGATTCGATTGACAACTATGGGAAGAAAGGTCGTAAAATGAGGCAAAACCTCATTGAACAAATGTCTCGCTTAGCAACATAAATTTTGGGGTCAGTTGTGGTCGTCAATCGAGGATTACCTGCACTAAGGATGGAGCACGCCTTTCTACAATCGTTCGGCCCCTTTTTTGCAAACCTTCCCAGCGGGAGATTGAATAAAGTCCTGGACCGGTCTTGCGTAACTCCTCAGCGCCACGGGAGAAGGTCAGCGTGGTCCTTCTGCCCTCAGGCATCAAGGCACACAAACACACCCAGCATTGTTGTGTTGCTGTTTCCCACAGAGACACGCCAAGCTGGAGAGGAAAGCTCCTGGAGGCCAAATCATCGCTCCAAACATATAAAAGCACGCTTCTCGGCGGAGATGAAAGGGAGGTGAGATAACCTGTAGGAAAAGAATGATTTCCCATATCCACACAGTGGCTGAAATAGCTGGAAGCAGGCTTTTATGGCCAAGTGGCAGGCAACCACAGAGGGTCCTCGTTTAGCAACTGCCCTATTTAGTGACCATTCGTTTGGAGTTACCAGGGTGGTTAAAAAAAAAAAAAAGGAACTAGACCACCAATCCTTACGTTTACAACTGTGGCAGGTCGGCAGTGTTTCTCAACTTGGACAACTTTAAGATGTAGGGACTTCAACTCCCAGAATTCCCCAGCCAGCTGGGGAATTGTGGGAGTTGAAGTCCATACATCTTAAAGGTGGCCGAGATGGAGAAATATTGCTGGGAAGCAGAAAGAAATTGCAGTTCAGCTTCTTATCCCTTTTTTTCATATTATGACTTTAAGGTGGCCAACATATCCAGCGCTACTCCCCCCTTCCTATTTTCCTCACAACAATCCTGTGAGGTGGGCCAGGCTGTTTATAAAAAAATAATAAAAGCAGGATTGAAACAAAAACCCAAAACCAGGTTTGGGAGATGGCTAGGCCCCACGTGGCTGCCCTTCACAACAGCCTCCCCCAGAGATTCGCAAAGCTCCTGTTTAATCCAGCTTTAAGCCATCTTTACAAACCTGCTTATTCCCCCCCCCCCTCTGGCTTGGAATTACAGGCTTGTCGGTTGACTCGGTCTCTTTTTAGTGGCGAGGGACGGAGGACGTGGTGTTTTGTGGTTCCCTCCTTACGCCGGTTGGTGTTTTCATGTGATATTGTGTTTTGTTTTATGCATCATGTTGTGGTTTTTGTCTGGGTGAAGCTGCTGGCGTTCTTCTGAGGTCAGGCAGCTTAGAAATTTTGACAAAAATGGAACTGATCAATGGGGAAAGAAATTGCTACCTTGTGTACTCGGCACTGTGTTGTAACAAAGCTTGTCTTTTTTGTTTTGGATAAATGAGAGTTACCAGATTTAACACAAACACAGTAAGCTGACATTGCATAAGAAATTATAACTGCAACTCTTTATTTATTGATCTGTTTTTGCCAAAACTACTGCTTTGGTGCCCTCTGGTGCCCTTGGCCAGAATTACACCTCTCTTAGCCAGGACCAAATTTCGGGTATTAAATCTGATTAAAACATTGATCCAAAACAAAAAGGCAAGCTTTGTGACAACGCAGTGCGGGACACACAAACTGTCCTTTTAAGAGGTATGGACCGCCGTTCCCAGAATTCCCCAGCCAGCTAGTGGAATTCTGGGAATTGATGTTCACAGACCTTAATTCCCAAGCTTGAAAAAATACTGCTGGAGCAAATATATATGGCTTTAATATATATAGATATATTCATTGTGTTTTCCCTCCACGCAGTGGATCAGGAAGGGACTTAAAAGGGCAGGAGAGATTGCAAAGTATAAGATAATTTTTTTTTCCCTAGATGTATCTTTTAAAGCCTCTGGCTTTGCTGCAATTATTCTCTCTCTTAACATGAAGAAATGTTTGAAAGAAGGGCTCCGCAGAGGAAAACATTTAAAAATAGTCCTCCAGCTGCTGTGTAAAAAGCTCAATATTGACATGTATAGACAGTCCTCGACTTACAACACTTAGGGACTGTTCAAAGTTACAACGGCATTGAAAAGTGACATATGATCGTTTTTCACACTTACGACCTTTGCAGTCACATAATCAAACTTCAGCGACTTGGCAACTGACTTGTACTTATGACGGTTGCAGCGTCCCGGGATCCCCTTAACCGTGTTACTAACTTAGCAACTGCGAAGATTCACTTAACAACTGTGGCAAAAAAAAATCAGCAAAAAAACCACTTAACTGTCTCGCTTAGCAACGAAAATGTTGGGCTCTATTGTGGTGGTAAGTTGAGGACTACCTGCATTGCTCAGATTGTGGCAATCTCGCAGCGGAGCATGATGGGAAAACAAAATGGCAGCTCACTGTGTCAAATAGCTACCGCAATTAGTGCACTATGTTGGCCAGACATTTCTGCAGGGGTGGTCAAAAAAGTCAAGATGGCAGCCACCACCGCATCTAAAACTGGGCAGGGCCTCCACGACAAGAGTCGTGGGCACCATCTTGGCTTTTTTGACCACCCCATGAATGCCTTCGAGCCCCCTCTAACTCAAAGGAGCAAAATTTGCTGCCCCTCTTCTCTCCTGCAGCACCAGACTGGGCCCAGGATCACTGTTTACGGAGTTATCGCTGATATTTTCATTGGAAGCAGTCTTAAAAAAAAAAACACTGAGAAAACCAGTGAATTAGATAATAGTTGTTTTTTTTCCTTGATAAAACAGAACCCCAAACATCTTGCAGAGAAGAAGGGCCCAGATTGAGCCAGATTGAGGGAGGCTTTCTGCTTGGATGGAGCCGGGCAAACTCTGCTCAAGAAAATTGAACCAGACAGGATTGAAAGAAGCACCACCACCGAAAGAAGCACCAAACTGCCACTAGGAAGAGAAATCAGAAGCGAGAAAACAAGTCTGGGGCCGAACAAGACGAATCCCAGTTTGGGTCGCAAAGACGGAGATCAAAGTTCAGATTACGGCTTGTGGTTCTCGCAGTCCAAGCAGAGCTGGGGGGATCTTCCTTCCCAGAGCAGGTGGGGGAGGACAGCCTCCCTTTTGCCCCAAGTCTTCTCCATTCCTGACGTTTGGGAATTCACGGACCCATCCTCCTCCGAGCCGAGGGGCTCAGCCCCTGGTGCTCAGCATTCCACCCCATAGCGGTCAAAGTTACGGAGCAGGACGGCCAGCTGGAGGTGCACGGTGCCCATGGCGCAGGTCCGCAGGCGGTAGCGGTCGCCCCCCATGTAGATCAAGTCGTTGTTGACGAGCTGGGGGCCCCCTCCCACAAAACACTGGGACAGCTGCTCCTGCCAAGAGCCCAGCGGGCGCCAGGTGACGCACTGCAGCTCGTGGAAGCCGGGGCTGGAGGGCACGTGGCAGAAGCCGTAGGCGCAGAGGTCGATGCGCCCAAAAGCATCCTGGTGCCACACCTGGACGTAGAGTTTGGGCCAACCTGCCGGGGGGGGGGGGGAGAAAAAAAAAGAAGCTGTCCTGTCATCTTGGTTTTTTAGTTTTAAACTTTTTATTCTGATTTTAATGGCTCGTTTTAACTTGTATTATATTGTAAGCTGCCAACAATTGAAATATCAGCGAGATGGGTGACACAGGAAGGAAGGAAGGAAGGAAGGAAGGAAGGAAGGAAGGAAGGAAGGAAGGAAGGAAGGAAGGAAGGAAAAAGAACAGAAGGAGGGAGGGAGGAAAGGAAGGAAGGACAGAAGGAGGGAGGGAGGGAAGGAAAAAGAACAGGATAGGAAGGAAGGAAAGAAGGAAGGAAAAGGAAGGAAGAAAAAAGAACAGAAGGAGGGAGGGAAGGAAGGAAGGAAGGAAGGAAGGAAGGAAGGAAGGAAGGAAGGAAAAAAGAATAGAGGGAGGGAAGGAAGGAAAACAAGAACAGAAGGAGGGAGGGAAGGAAGGAAGGAAAAAACAGGGAGGGAGGGAGGGAAGGAAGGAAGGAAAAAAAATGAGGGAGGGAGGGAAGGAAGGAAAAAGAACAGAAGGAAGGGAAGGAAGGAAGGAAGGAAGGAAAGAAGCTCCCACGCTGACTGGCAAAGTCTGGGACTTGTAGTCCACACATTTTAAAGTTTCTACGGTTGAGAAACATGGTTTAACCACATCCATAAGGCAGAATTTTGAGGCAAACAGTGGCAACAACAAAAACAATAGCAACCACCATCCATCCATACAGCGGCACCCACAGTCGATCCTTCAGCTCCTTCTGTCCCCTCACTCCAATTTCCTTGGGTCCACCCCGTTCAGTTCCTCTTTCATAATTAGGGCCAATTTTGGTTTTGGATCCACTGGCTCGGATCTGGTACCGTCTTCCCCAAGCGTGACGTCCCCAACAAAAAAGGGAGCTGAAGAGGCCAATTTTAATAATTACACATTGTCCGTTCAGCTGGGAAGGAAGAAAGGCGGCGAGAGCAGTTTTTATTCATCTATTGGAAGGAGAGAGGGGAGGGGTGAAAAAGACAATCTTGGGCCCAGACATGCAGTGACAGGCCTGGCCGTCTTTTTTTACCTGCACTGGGCTGGCCACAGGTTCAAAATTCCCCAAAAGACAAACGGCTTTGCTGCTGTTCAAGCTGAGAAACTTAATTTGGAACCTGCTTCCCTCCTGATTTATAATCCCTCGCAATATTTATTGCATCGGTTGTTTTATTCTCTGCCCGTGCTGTGCTTCAGATTAAGCACCTAATAAATAAAAGCATTTACAAACTGCCTGATGCCACCTTCAAGGATCAGATGCTATGGAATTAATGACGGAATAATGGAAGGGCGAAGGCAAAACTGGAGCCTCTCCATGCCAGTACAGTCTACCTTTGAATTCCAAAGGGCAAAGGCAAAACTATCTATACCCCTTTTTGGATTTTGATTTTTTTTTTTTTTTTGAAGCCATCTACTGGTCGTTAAAAAGAGCACCAAGGATCCCATACTTCCGTGATGTCATCGGGATATTTTGAAAAGTTATTTCTTTGTATCCCACTTTGGTCATTTTGACAAATAACTCAAGGCAGCAAACATATCCCACCCAACTTCCTTCTCCTAGTTTCCTCCCAATAACAGCCCTGTGAGGTGGGCTGGAGTGATAGGGAAGGACTGGCTCACGATCACCCAGCCGGCTTTCCTGCTTAAGGTGGGACTAGAACTCCCAGTCTCCTGGTGACTGGCCCAAAGTCATCCAGATGGTTTTCCTGCCTAAGATGGGACTAGAATTCCCAGTCTCCTGGTGACTGGCCCAAAGTCATCCAGATGGTGTTCCTGTCTAAGGAGGGACTAGAACTCCCAGACTCCTGATGACTGGCCCAAAGTCATCCAGATGGCTTTCCTACCTAAAATGGGACTAGAATTCCCAGTCTCCTGGTGATTGGTCTAAAGTCATCCAGATGGCTTTCCTGCCTAAGGTGGGACTACAACTCCCAGTCTCCTGGTGACTGGCCCAAAGTCATCCAGATGGCTTTCCTGCCTAAGGCAGGACTAGAACTCCCAGTCTCCTGGTGACTGGCCCAAAGTCATCCAGATGGCTTTCCTGCCTAAGGCGGGACTAGAACTCCCAGTCTCCTAGTGATTGGTCCAAAGTCATCCAGATGGCTTTCCTGCCTAAGATGGGACTACAACTCCCAGTCTCCTAGTGATTGACCCAAAGTCATCCAGATGGCTTTCCTGCCTAAGATGGGACTAGAATTCCCAGTCTCCTGGTGATTGGTCTAAAGTCATCCAGATGGCTTTCCTGCCTAAGGCGGGACTAGAACTCCCAGTCTCCTGGTGACTGGCCCAAAGTCATCCAGATGGCTTTCCTGCCTAAGGCGGGACTAGAACTCCCAGTCTCCTGGTGACTGGCCCAAAGTCCACCCAGCCGGTTTTCCTGCTTAAGGCGGGACTAGAACTTCCAGTCTCCTGGTGACTGGCCCAAAGTCACCCGGATGGCTTTCCTGCCTAAGGTGGGACTAGAACTCACTGTCTCCTGGTGATTGGCCCAAAGTCACTCAGTTGGCTTTCGTGCTTAAGGTGGGACTAGAACTCACCGTCTCCTGGTGATGATTGGCCCAAAGTCACTCATCTGGCTTTCATGCCTGATGTGATGAGACTCTGACGGTGTCCTACTTTCTAGTCTGGTGCCGTAATTACCAGACCAAACTGGCTCTCAAGGAGTCAGGATACCAGGATGTCGTTTACAGCTCTCAGCCACAATCATCCAGAGATATAAAAAGAAACTCTCCCCCCCCACGTCCTCTTCCTTACCTTGCAAGCCTTTGGTGGCAAAGTGGACATCGATGGGGTGGCACCAGTAAGCCACGTCCCCTAACTGGGGATGGTCAACCTGCGTCTGCCCTTCCCGAAGACCCGACAGCAGTTTCCAGGCTCCACCTGAGAGAAGCATCCACCCAGCAGTTGTTAAAGAGAGCACCAAGGTGTCCCAACAAGCCAACTTTATATCCTTTGCTTTGGCTTCTGACCATCTTAATCTTTCAGAATAACAGAGTTGGAGGGGACCCCCGGAGGTCTTCTAGTCCAACCCCGTTTTAATTCAGCAAGTTTCGGGTCTCTTGATCGCAGGCCAAGAGTAATTGGCTCGTTTCTTGGGGATGGCCTTTCCTCGTGGTCTCCCATCCAAGTCCAGTATGCCCGCAGACCCCGCCCTGCTGCCAGCGTTTCCCTTCCCCACCGACTGAGCAGCCCTCCCTTTCTTGGCGGGTCTGGGGTCTGGGGACCCCCCCAACTCATCGGGACCCCCCCAACCCCCCCAACTCACCGGGATGTTCCCCACCTGTCCCACGTAGAGACCCCCCCCCGCCTCCGCACCCACCTGTGTGGATCCCCCATTTGCAAAAGAGGGAACTGCTGGGGAATCCACTGCCTCCCACGAGCTGGCCAATGACGTGCACTTCGGCCATGGCCCTTGCGGGCGGAGCCGAGCCGGGGGCCGCCGGATTGCAGAAACCGGGCTTTGCAAATCCTTAGATGCGGCGGACTCGGGCTAACCCGGGTCAGGCTCTGCCCGGGAACCTGCTTCGGAAGGCCAATGCACGGGTCGGCAACGGTTCAGACGTTGCAGCCACGGCGAAAGCGGGGCGCGAGGGCGGGCGGGAGGAAGCGGGGGCGGAGCCTCCCCGCGGTAGTCAAGACGCCTCGCCCGTCCTGCCTCCTGATTGGCTCGTGGAGGAGGGGGCGTGGCCCGGAGGTGTATACATAGAGGGACCGGCGGGCGGCGCTCGTGCAGAAAGCGTGGGCGATGGGGGTGTTGTGTTTATTTTATTTTATTTTATTTTATTTTATTTTATTCCATTTTGATTAACTTCTCCCCTTTCTGGGCTTTAGGGAAATCAGATTGCAGCCTATTTTTTTTTAAATAATAATAATTACTATTATTATTTCTTTTGAGACTGTCCATCTCACTATATACTGTCTGTCTATCTATATCTATATCTGTCTATCTATCTATATATTTTTTTTTGTCTATCATCTATCATCATCTATCATCTATCTATTATCTATCTATCTTTCTGTCATCATCTATTATCTTTCTATCTATCATCTATTATCTATCATCATCTATTATCTATTTTCTATCTATCTATCATCATCTATTATTTATCTATCTTTCTATCTATCCATCATCTATATCTATCTATTTTCTATCATCTATCATCATCTATCATCTATCTATCTATTTTCTATCATCTATCATCATCTATCATCTATCTATCTATTATCTATCAATCATCATCATCTATCTATTATCTATCTTCTATCATCTTTATCTATCATCTATTATCTATCCATCCATCCATCCATCCATCCAATAAATCAACTATGTTTGTGTCTCTAGAAGCTGCACCAATGACAGCAAAAGCCACTTGACATTTAAATGCACACTTTTTTTGGGATCAACTCCCACGTTTTTCTAAATAAAACCAAATCCATGAGATAAAAAGCTGGCCTGCACCTCTCATCTCAGTGTCTGAAGTGTAAAAAAAAAACCACAAGAAACTCAGGAGCTGAAGGCAATTTAAATTCGTTTCCCACAAGCCACAAAGGGGGGACATCCCAGCCCCTCAAATGGCCTGGCTCTGCTCCGGGTGGGACTGAAAGGACAAGAAAATGTACAGATGGTCCTCAGCCACCATTGAGCCCAAAATTTCCGTTGCTAAGCGAGACAATTGTTAAGTTGAATTTGGCCCCATTTCATTACCTTTCCCCATTTCATTACGCTTGTTAAGTGAAGCACTGTGGTTCTGAAGGAACTAAATCACTCACATATTCGTTGCACCAGACTATAGAACAAAATGCTTGGTGTTTTACAAAGCGAGATCAAGAAGGCAGGGGAAAAAAAATACATTAAGGCTGGGGTCCAGGAAATTTACAATTTAAATTATTACCACCTCGTTAAAATTGGAACCTCTCTTCCTTCATGGATTCTGATCCCCCCCCCCCCCAGCCTCTGTGGTGCAGCATCCGATGAATGTGAAATTCAGAATTTCAGGCATGTTCACCCTCCCAAGTGGGCCGCCAGGTTGGATTCAAAAAAATACAGGTAACAGATTGATGTTTCCATCTGTCCTTTTTTCCTTTCCTACCCAGGCAGTAATTGCGTGTAATCACCTTGGGCGCTCGTAAAGCACTAAAGCACGTTAAGTTTCTATCTGGAATTTTTTTTCCCCCAGCCTTTCGTTAGTGGGCCTCAATTAACCGGAACTTTGGGGGGGGCTTCAGGTAAGTGTGCCATAAAAAAAATGGGGAAGCTCTTGCCTCTGACCCTTTTGAACACTGGGCTTGTGGGTTTTGTTAGGTACATCTCTTAATTGGTAAAATATCCTAATAAAACATCTCCTGGTCTGTGGCCAAGCCTTGCTGGATTTTTCAAGGTGTTTGTAAAGAAAAGCGGAAGAGTTTTTGATTAGTATTTTCCAGTTTGTAGCTAGAGCATGGTTCTCAACCTTTTTAATGCCGCAACCCCCAACCGGTCGTAAGTCGAGGACTACTCAACCGGTCGTAAGTTGAGGACTACTCAACTGGTGCAGCACCGTTTGCAGAATGAGACTTTTGGCGGGTTCAGCAGGGCAGAGACAGCCTGGACAATTGCTATTGGCTTTTGAAAGCCAATAGAATTAGACTCTATTCGAGAGAGTCTATTCTGTTGGCTTTCAAAAGCCAATAGAATAAAAGGGAGTAGCACAGCTAAGGAAAAGGGGGAAAAAATGGCAGACTGCGTTGTTTGGCAACCCCCGTGAAATGGTCGTTCGACCCCAAATGGGGTCCCGACCCACAGGTTGAGAACCACTGAGCTAGAGCATCAGTGTTTCTCATCTCAGGAACTTGAAGAGGGGTGGACTTCAACTCCCAGAATTCCACAGGCAGCAAGGTTTAAGATAGATGGACTTAAACCTTGCTGGTTGAGGAATTCTGGGAGTTGAGGTCCATCCATCTTAAAGCTTGCTGGCTACGGAATTCTGGGAACTGAAGTCCATCCAACTTAACTCTTGCTGGCTGGGGAATTCTGGAAGTCGAAGTTGGATGGACATCAATTCCCAGAATTCCCTAGCCAGCAAGCTTTAAGATGGATGGACATCAATTCCTGGAATTCTCCAGCCAGCATGCATTAAGATGGCAACACATTCCGGTCTGATTCAAATCAACATCAATTCTCCTTCGGCCATGATTGGCTGGGGAATTCTGGGAGTTGAAGTCCACCCCTCTTCAAGTTGACACGGTTGAGAAATATTAGTGAGAATGTACGACATGTGTGTGTGTGTGTGTGTGTGAGAGAGAGAGAGAGAGAGAGAGAGAGAGAGAGAGAGAGAGAGAGCTTTCACTGAAGAGTTGCAGATAGGAACGGGTGTCTTTTTAAATTTTATTTTGGGGACTAGGGCTAGCAGAAGACCCCTTGTGCAAAATTGTGAAGCTGGAGATTCTTTCCTTGCGAGAGAAATGAACTGTCAGGAGAGGAAGAGCTGAAAGCAAAGTGGGGTTTACGCCAATGACATTTAAAACGAGTATTTCAGAACAGTCTCGGCGGATGAGAGACCCATGCTGTTTTTCTTCAGCAATAAGGCTTAGGAACTTGACCCTTGTCAAATCAAAATAGCTACCCTTAGGCACATCAAGCTACCATTGCTAGGTTTATTTTGGTCCTTTGGTTGCCTTTCCAAATGCCACCGTGCTTGGCGCTTAGCTAACTTTCGGAGTTGACGGTGAGGTGGAAAATGCGTTCTGGAGCCTCCTCCCGTAATCAATGTTATGGATGCTCAGGAACCACCTTTTGTGTTTAAAACAATAAAGGTAAAATTATTGAGTCAGGCTCAACTCCTCGAGAAATTAATGCTATTTCCTTGCCAGACTATTATACCGTCTTCATTTTTTTTTCTTTTTCTCCTGTTCAATCGTGTCTAATTGTCAGAGGCTGCCCAGACAAACCACTGCAATTTTCTCAGCCAGGTTTTTCAGAAGGGGCTTGCCATTGCTTCCTTCCCAGGGCTGAAAGAATGTTGCTGGTTCAAAGTCACCCAGCTGGCTTTCATGCCTAAACTAGAACTCCCAGTCTCCTGGTGATTGGCCCAAAGTCACCCAGCTGGTTTTGATGCCTAAAGCAGAACTAAAACTCACAATCTCCTGATGATTGCCCCAAAGCCACCCACCTGGCTTTTATATCTAAGGCAGAACTAGAACTCCCAGTCTCCTGGTGATTGGTCCAAAGCCATCCAGCTGGCTTTCATGCCTAAAGAAGAACTAGAACTCCCAGTCTCCTGATGATTGCCACACAGCCACCCACCTGGCTTTTATATCTAAGGCAGAACTAGAACTCCCAGTCTCCTGGTGATTGTCCCAAAGCCACCCACCTGGCTTTTATATCTAAGGCAGAACTAGAACTCACAGTCTCCTGATGATTGCCCCACAGCCACCCACCTGGCTTTTATATCTAAGGCAGAACTAGAACTCACAATCTCCTGGGGATTGGTCCAAAGCCACCCAGCTGGCTTTCATGCCTATGGCAGGACTAGAACTCACAATTTCCTGGGGATTGGTCCAAAGCCACCCACCTGGCTTTCATAACCATGGCAGGACTAGAACTCACAATCTTCTGGGGATTGGCCCAAAGCCACCCAGCTGGCTTTCATGCCTATGGCAGGACTAGAACTCACCGTCTCCCAGTTTCTAACTTGATGCTTTCACCGCCAGATCAAAGCAGCTCTCCATTATCTTCCATGGCCACGCTTTTCCATCTTCCCATTCTTATCCACGACCCTGGGATTTTTGAGGTTTCCCCCTCTCCCCCTCCAAAGAGCAGTCAGGTAGGACCTTCCTTGGCCCTTACAAGCCGGCCCAAGGCAGGGAGAGGTGCTGACTCAGCAGCACACCTGTCCCAGGTACCTGGCCTCCTTACCTAGGACTTCCTTGACTCCAATGTTTGCGCCCAGCCTCAAATACACTCAAGGGTGGCCTGGCGGGACACGTGGGCTCTTTAAATCCTTGAAACTGAAGGCGCAGCAATTCCAGATCTTAACGGTCCCTGTGTTGTGATGACTCTCCACTTTTCTGGATGACACCCTCCTTCCCCCCCCCCTTTTGCCGCTGCTGTTTTGATAGCCCAGCTGCTGCAGAGGCACAACACAGACAGCGGTGTCAGCACAATTTCTCCGGCAGCATCTTCCAAAAATTATTACCTTTAATTGCACACCGCACAGTCTCTTGCAGGAACGGGCCCTGTGACTCGCCTTCAGAGCCTCCAGGGGGCGCTGTGTTTGCGTGTCAAAACACCAGCTGGAAAGATTGGATTTTGCATCGATTTTTGTGTTCTTTTCTGTCTGTGTCTTCGCAGAAAGAGGGAGAGAGAGAGAGAGAGAGAGAGAGAGACAGAGACAGAGACTGAAACTTAAGGTCAGATCTTAATTTCACCAGCACATCCTAAGAAACGTCGTGGATCTTTTCCGCTTCTTCCACAGGTGAAACAGATAACGGTTCGCCAGGTAAAAGGGGGGAAACAAAACCGGTTTTTGAGGGGAAGCTTCAGCCACAAAGATGGGATCCAATTTACTTTCTATTTCAAGGATCTGGAAGCAGAATCCTGGAATCCTGTCCCTCTGTTGGGTAGGTCTGTTCGAGTGAAAA